TATGAACTGTTCTCAAACGTATCAAATTGCTTTCCTTTGGGAATGCATCCAACAAGATGATTGTGAGAGAGATTTAAGACTTCAAGAAATGTGAGGGATGCAAGCTGCTGCGGAATTTCTCCGCTGATTTTGTTAGATGAGAGATCCAATGATTCGAGCACAAATAGATTTTTCAATGATGCCGGTATATGACCTTCCAAGACATTATGAGATAAGTTCAACGTATGAAGTCCAACAAGATCTCCAATAATGTTTGGTATATGACCTTCAAATCTGTTCTTTGAGAGATTGATAATCATGTTAGAAGCCAAAATTCTAACAGAATCATAATCCTGTCCCTTTGTTGTAATTGTCATCACATAATCATAAACAAGCATATATTGATCAGAAATATACTGTCGGGTTCTTGTACTTTCATCAAATTTCTTCATGGCTTGCAAATTCCCCAAAAGACTTTCGGGTAAATTCTCACTAAATCCATTGGATGATAGATCAATAATTTGAAGCTGCGGAAACAAGTTTGTATTCCCTGAATATTTAATGGGACCATGCAACTTATATGATCTCAAGCTTAAAATCTGCAAATCAGGTAGGTCTCCTAACCAGTTAGGAAATGTGTCATTCAATTCATTGTTACCTAGATCAAGGAGTTTCAAATGTTTGCAATTGATTAAAGATCATGGGACTTTCCCCTTTAGCTTATTCCCATGCAAGCTAATGACCCTGAGAGAGTTTCCAATACTAAAAGTAGTATTACTTGTCCCACTAAGACTGTTGTTGCTCAAATCCAAATTCCAAAGGTATTCATTCATCGCACCCAAACATTGTGGGATTGTTCCCTCCAAATTATTACTTCTCAAATCTAGTACTGCCAATATTTTCAGATTGCAGATAGCTGAAGAAATCTGTTCACTGATATTATTGTGTGAAAGGAGAAGAAGTTGTAGGCTCTGCTGGTTTAGGAGTGACTTTGGAATAGGACCTTCCAGCTTATTTTGTCTTAGAGAAATGTTATATAATGTTTTGGACTTGAACCCCTGAAGTTTTCCACTGAAAGTGTTATTGCTCAAGTCTAACACTCTCAGTGAAGGAAGGGAAAATATCCAGGAAGGTATAGATAGTCCCATTCAAGTAGTTTGATGACAAGTATAGCTTTTTTAGGTTTTGCAGTCCACTCATGGTGGATGGAATTGGATGACAAAATTAGCCATTCAAGTTGCACCCAGCTTCTGTTGAAGGATAAGAACTCAAGTCGGTCATCAAAGTTGTTATTTTTAAGTGTTAACTTCTTGAGCTTTTCAAATCTCGAGAACTGGGAAATTGGTCCTTCAAGATGGTTATCATCAAGGAACAAACTCTCTATGTGGGTTAAATTCCATAGAGGTTTAGGAATGGGCCCTGACAGATTAGTATAACCCATGTACAACTCATGAAGTGAAGTTAGATGGCCAAATGATTCAGGTATCCTACCGGTAATATTCACATCATAGAGATATAACTTCATGAGTGATGCACTGCTATTCCATTTGGTAGTAGGAAACCTAACAGTGAGCTGGGGATTTTCTGATAAATCAAGGGATTCCAAATCGGAAAGGTGGAAAACTCTTTCGGGCAATACTCCACGTAACTGTGTGTCTAGAAGCGATAGAGTTTTAAATAAGTAGAGAAATTCAGAGGAATGGTGGAAGAGATGTTCACATAGTCAAGGTTGAGCTCTCTTAATTGGGTCAAGTTCTTAAGGAGCAGTTCAAAATTGTGAAGCCCAAGACTAAGCTCATATAGACCACTTATTCAAAGAACGTGCAATTTAGAAAGGTGAGAGATTTCAGAAGGGATTATACCTGTAAAACTTGAACATGACAAATCAAGATGCATCAAGTTAGAGAACTCGCCAAATTTAGGTGAAATGAGCGATCCAGTGAAATCATTATAAGACAAATCAAGCCTTTTGAGATTGGAGAGTTGAAAGAGACTACTATTGGAATGAAACTTGCCTTGAAGTTGGCTGCAACAGAGATCAAGCTCAATCACTTGTCCTGTCATCTCGTCACAATGAATTCCATCCCATGAGCAACAATCTGTGCTCTTGTTCCATAAAAGAGTTCTTGGATATGACTGAATCTCTTGCCCTGTACTTATGTTGAGACAATAATCAGAAGCATTAGGATTGATGGTAAACATGTGTTTGAATTGTAGAAGAGCAAGAGCTTGATCTTCGGGGCATAAATGAGGTAAGGATGAGGAGAAAGCAAGTTGACCGAAAAAGGGATATAGCATAAAAGATACAAGTTTTACACAACCCATTTCTGCACTAAAAATGATCAAAACTAATTAAGTTGGTAGAGAAGTAAACAAGAAATGTTTGCTTTATGTGTCTATTTAATAATTTTGATGAGGTATATATAACACAAATTAGGCAAAGAAGAATTTATTACAAGTTACCTAGTCATTTTGCTAATGCATTAAGGTTAGACTGGAAATCTACTCCGAATACAACGCCTTACATAGTGCGCCAGCTCCAGCTAATTTTCCACAAGAATTGACCTGCTGATGGAAGACAGTGCAGGAGTCCAGATATGGCATATTCTTCATATATTCAACTAAACATATTCTTAATTAATAGTTTGGTCTAAAAATGCCCATGCTGTCAATAGTTTGGACCAAAAATGTCCATACAATTTATAGTTTGGTCGAAAAATGCGTCTATTGTTATTGAATGAGTCAAAAATAATCATCCCAATATGTCACACCATATGCAAAGACTATGTAAACTAACAATATAAAGTCAAGTAAGAAACTGTTATTTTATTACGAATTGAAATTTTTCTTAGTTGGTGTATAGACTGGGGAAAAAACCTTTCAAGTCAAAAATTCAAAAAGTTTGATTAGTCAGAATAGGTGGCCATCAGAATAAGAATAATAGTTAGTGTATAGACTATGAGAAAAGACATTTCAAGTCAAAATTCCAAAAAGAAATTGATTGGTTAGGATAATCGTGTTGGTTGGTACATAGATCTTGACTTCCAAGTAGTTTCCAGTTTCTGTTCATCAGTCTAATAGGCCCCAGGAGATAGTTAGCTAATAATTGTGATACTGAATGTTGTTAATACGATGCTTGATGTTTGTGGGAAAAATGGGATATGGGTTTGGGGTTCTTGATGTTTTCTCACATGCCTTATAGAGATGTTTATTCATGGAATAGCATGATTTATGGGTACATGAAGAACGGGTGCTCTGAAGTTGCTGTTAAGTTTTTCCAGAGAATGATGGTACACGCAGAAGTGAAGTGTGGTTTATTGAAGCCAAATGAGACTACATTTATTAGTATTTTTTCTTCTTGCACGTTTTTGGATGTTTGTGTGGCATTATATATAGGGAGGCAAGTACATGGTTACATGGTAAAGAATGACGAGTTGAGTGTCTTCATGACGACCGCATTAATTACGTTTTATGGAAAGATGGGTTGTTTGGCTTATGCTTCAAAGATATTTGATGCAATGGTTAGCAAGCAGGTTTGCTCTTGAAATGTCACATGAATTTGGACTTGTAGCTAAGATGGAGCACTACAGGAAGCGTACGACTTCATAAAGAAGATGCCTTTTGAAGCTGATGTCACTGTCTTGGGGGCTCTGATGGGTGCTTGTAGACTTCATGGAGCTATTGAATTGGGAAATGAAGTATCACAACTACTGCTTGAGTCGCAAGTGAATCATTTGTGCTGGCGCAGAGAGGTGGGATTATGCTTCTGCCTTGAGAAAAGCAATGTTAGATGCTGGAATACTCAAGGTTTAAGCCCACAGTTTTATTTAGTGGAGCTGATAACTGCCGCATCAGCTAAGTCCTAGCTTGACAGATACATTCTTGTGAAATCTCGACTCATCAAAATCAGTTAAAAGGATCCTGCATATGGATTTTGCAGAGAGATTAAAGCACTGCTTAAGGAAAGCTGTAGTGATATCCTTTTGTTTGGCGAGGTATTTCCTATTGTTTACTACTTTTGTTTTTATGAATCTTTTTCTTTGCCCCGAAACTTTGAAATTGTGCAGCGGTTTGCTAAGTAATTAATCTGAACAATAGTTGATCACGATAAAGCTCACCTATAGTCAAGCGCTTCTGCTTGATTTCTTCCTAAATGAAGTTTGAAATCCTTATGGATTTCGATCACTAGAAATTCTATCATTCAGTTATGTGTTTATGTCTATCTTATTTTGGGGTTTGAACATTATTGCATGTCTCTATGCAAGTTATTGTTTGGGGCTGAGGCGCAGTTTGTTGTTGTATAACAGTGATGTTCAGGTCAACTTGTGTTCAATTCGATTAATTCAACCTGTACCGTCTACCTTCCATCTTAGAGATGTTGGGTAACTCTGTCATCCGAGAGTTAGATGGGAAGAGTTGAAGGCTCTTTCTCCAACTCTTCAAAGAATGCAGATTCCAGTCTATGTGAGGCTCAGACAGTAGAGAATAATGCAAAAAATCTTTTTGCTGCTGCTTCAATGAAAAGAGTTAAACATAGAAAATTGCAACTTTGGTCCCTGGTAATGTTTGACCTTTTGATGGAAAAAAGTATTTTTGAACTCTCTAACTACAGAGTTTTTCAACTTAAAGTGAGTATTCTATGTTTGTGTTAATGTGAAAGAGTTGAGTGAAATACAATATTTTTTAGTGATGACACATATCGTCTGATTGAATGATCTAAAGATTCAAGTTTGTGTCCGATTCTGTTTATCAGTCGAATTTATATCTAAATGCCACAGACAATGTAAACAAAATCTGGTCGAGTCTCAAAAGAAGAAAAGTCATGTCTTTATTCATAGGATAAGAAACACTTTATGGAAACATCACAAAGTATGAAAGAAAAAGGATTTTATCTGCATCCTCAGCAACTCTGTAGACATGAATCCTGCAATTTTCAAAAATAAAGAATTAAGTTAAGAGCTTTGAGGATGAAGTAATTCTTTGAAGGATAGAGATCAAGTTGAATACCTGGAGGTTACACACTAATATCTTTTCTTGTGTTTTTTCATTCTCGTAGTAATTTGGTGTTCCAATTTTACAACCATCCTCGAAAACCATGCTGGATATTGAGTTGAATACATTATGTATATTATGGACAGTCCAATAACAAGTCCACAACCGTAACCCATGAGAACTCCCTGCCAACTGATCATCGGTGAATCTTCTTCTTCTTCTTCTTGATCTTGCTCAGCTGGAGTTGTCGCTTGTGGTACCCTATCATCACGGACACAATCTCTTGAGGGTGGCAATCCTCGTAATCCATCATTTCCTTGGTATGAAGTGTTCTCAAACGTATCAAATTGTTTTCCTCTGGGGATGCATCCAACAAGATGATTGTGAGAGAGATTTAAGACTTCAAGAAATGTGAGAGATGCAAGCTGTTGCGGAATTTCTCCGCTGATTTTGTTAGATGAGAGATCCAATGATTCGAGTACGGATAGATTTTTGAATGATGCTGGTATATGACCTTCCAAGACATTATGAGATAAGTTCAAGGTACGAAGTCCAACGAGATCTCCAATAATGCTTGGAATATGACCTTCAAATATGTTCTTTGAGAGATCGATAATCATGTTAGTAGCAAGAATTGGAGCTGAATCATAATCATGTCCCTTTGTTGTAATTGTCGTCAAATAATCATAATAATTAGCATATGGATCAGAAACATACTGTGGGGTTCTTGTACTCTCATCAATTTCCTTCATGGCTTGCAAGTTTCCGAAAAGACTTTTGGGTAAATTCCCACTAAATCCATTGGATGATAGATCCATAATTTGAAGCTGCGGAAACAAGTTTGTATTCCCTGAAGATTTAATGGGACCATGCAACTTATTTGATCTCAAGCTTAAAATCTGCAAACCAGGTAGGTCTCCTAACCAGTTTGGAAATGTGTCATTCAACTGATTGTTACCTAGATCAAGAAGTGTCAAATACTTGCAATTGATCAAAGATCGTGGGACTTTCCCCGTTAGCTTATTCCCATACAAGCTAATGACAGTGAGATAGTTTCCGCTACCAAAAGTTGTATTAATTGTCCCACTAAGACTGTTTTTGCTCAAATCCAAATTCCAAAGGTTTTCATTCATCACACCCAAACATTGTGGGATTGTTCCCTCCAAATTATTCCTTCTCAAATTTAGCACAATCAGTTCTTTCAGATTGCAGATAGCTAAAGCAATGTGTCCATTTATATTATTGTGCGAAAGAAGAAGAATTCTTAGGCTTGGCTGGTTTAGGAGTGAATTTGGTATTGGACCTACCAGCTGATTTAGGTTTAGATAAACTTGAGACAATGTGTTGGACTTGAACTCCTGAATTTTTCCACTGAAAGTGTTATTGCCTAAGTCTAACACTGTCAGTGAAGGAAGGGAGAATATCCAGGAAGGTATAGTCCCACTCAAGTTGTTTGATGACAAGTAGAGCTGTTTTAGGTTTGGTAGTCCACTTACGTTAGGTGGAATGTGACCAGTAAGGTAATTGGACGAAAATTTTTAGTATTCAAGCTGTGTCAGGCTTTTGTTAAAGGATAAGAACTCAAGTCCGCCATCCAAGTTGTTATTTCTAAGTGATAGCTCCTTGAGCTTTTCAAATATCGATAACTGGCAGGAAATTGGTCCTTCAAGATGGTTATTACCAAGGTCCAAAAACTCTATGTTGGTGAGATTCCATAGAGGCTTAATAGGCCCTGACAGATTAGAATCACTCATGTACAACTCATGAAGTGAAGTAAGATGGCTAAATGATTCAGGTATCCTACCGGTAATATTCACACTATAGAGATATAACATCATGAGTGATGCACTACTATTCCATTTGGTTGTGGGAAACCTAACTGTGAGTTGGAGATTTTCATATAAATAAAGGAATTCTAAATCGGAAAGGTGGAAAACTCTTTCAGGCAATACCCCACATAACTCTGTGTATGGAAGCCGTATATTTATTAAATAAGAAGAGAAATTCAGAGGAATGGTGGAAGAGATGTCCACAGAGTGAAGGTTGAGCTCTCTTAATTGGGTCAAGTTCTTAAGGAGCAGTTCAAAATTGTGAGGCCCAAGACTAAGCCCATATTGATCACCTATACGAAGAACGTGTAATTTAGAAAGGTGAGAGATTTCAGAAGGGATTAGACCTGCAAAACTTGATCGCGACAAAACAAGATGCGTCAAACTTGAAAACTCACCAAATTTAGGTGATATGAGTGATCTAGTGAAATCATTATAAGACAAATCAAGTCTTTTGAGATTGAAGAGTTGAAAGAGGCTACTATTGGAATGAAACTTGCCTTGAAGTTGGCTGCAACGGAGATCAAGCGCAATCACTTGTCCTGTCGTCTCGTCACAATGAACTCCATCCCATGAGCAGCAATTTGTGGTTTTGTTCCAAGAAAGAGTTCTTGGATATGACTGAATCCCTGTATAGTCGAAACAAGCATAAGAAGCATCAGGATTAATGGAAAACATGTGCTTGAATTGTAGAAGAGCAAGAGCTTGATCTTTCGGGCACAAATGAGGTGAGGATGAAGAGAAAGCAAGTTGGTAGAGAAAGATATATAGCATAAAAAACACAAGTTTTACAGAATCCATTTCTGCACTAAAATGATGTTAAGTTGATAGTGAAGAAATCAAGTTTTACTCTGTCTGTGTCTATATTTTTCAGTAAGTTAGATGAGATATATATAGAACAAACTAAGCAAACAAGTTTAGTTGCATTGATATAATCAGTTCTACTGAAAATTCAAAAAGTTTGAATTAAGAATAATTGACGTATAGACTTTGAGAAAAGACATTGCAAGTATAAATTCTAAAAAGAAATTGACTGCTTAAGATAATATATAGTGTTGGTTGGTGCATAGACCTTGACTTCCGAGTCAAAAATTAACAACCCTGCCCCACACAACAGGTTTTGGTTCCCTTAACAACCCTGCCCCAATTCCCACCCACCCACTTTCAGCATGATTTCAGGTCCATTAGTCCATTTTCGTACCAAAGAAAATTAAAAAATGAAGGTCACTTTTTAAAATTTTCGGTCTAATTGAATGATCTAACGATTCAACTTTATGTCCAATTCTGATTTTCCTTTGTTTTGCTGGTTTGGGTCGATGAGCAGATTGGGCCTTCAGTGTTTTGTGCTTTGGGCTGTTACACTTCAAGAGGCCAGAATCTTTTCTAAGCACTATTTCATTGCCATTCATTTATGTTACTTGCATGCGTTAACGATGTATGAGAAGATGAGGGCAAAGGCGCTACAACCAAATGAGATTACCTTTGTGTCTGTTCTATCAGCTTGTGCGTATGCCAAGCTTGTCAATTTCAGTTTTAAATTGTTTGAAGCAATGTCACATGAATTTGGACTTGTAGCTAAGATGGAACATTATGGTTGTGTTGTTGATCTCTTAGGGAGAGCCGGGCTACTGCAGGAAACGTACAACTTCATAAAGAAGATGCCTTTCGGTAGTGTGTTCATGTCTAGTCTTAGTTAAGGCTTTAAACATTATTCGATAGTCATTTTCAGTCAATTTAAACTTGTCAATCACGTATGCCCATTCAATCTGTCACACAAGTGAATGCCGGAAACTATCAATAGTTCACATTCTCAATTCAAATGAAAGCAACAACACAAAGTTCCACGACTTGTACATAACACATGCATTATGTCTGATACTTTATTATAGACAAATTTGTCACTAAAAGTTCTACGTTTTGGCTCTCTTAACTACCCTCCACACACACACACACAACTTTTCTCTTTTTTTTTTTTACAACTTCTCTCAGGATTTCATGATTGGCTAATGAAAATGTGATGAGCTTATTTGTCTACTTTGTGTTCCCACATCTCAGGGAATAATAAACCTGAATATTAATAGATCAGGGAATCTGTTCAATGTTTGTTAATTAGTTTTCCTAGATTCACATTTCTACAGTTTTGGAACTGGAAGTGATGAATTAAGTTGAAAGTTGTTATGTCGATAATTGGGTGTATGAACAAAGTCTTGCATTAGAAGTTGGTACGAAAAAGAAGATATGTTTAAAGTGAAGTGATACTGTTAATTAATGATGTGAGACATTTAGGAGGAAACTTTTACCCAAAGCCGACAATATCACACCATTTTAAGAGTTTCTTCATCCAGATTTTTGTGCATGATATATGTCGGTCTATTTGAATCCTTTCAAGTTTTGATTGTTATATGAAAAGAAGAAGAATCTTTTACTTACTCTTTTACCTGGTTCTAGAATGAGTCCGACTAACTTATTTTGTCTGATACCTTATTATAGACAAACATGTCACAAAAAATATCTTTTTTTTTCTCTTAACAACCCTACACACGACTTTCCCTTTTCTATTTACCAAAAAAAATATTACAGTAGTGCCAGCTCTGAGGACAATCAAGAATGTGTGGTTTGCTTATAACTTTATATCGTAGGAATAGGACAGTCACTTTGCTAATGCATTCAGGTTAGATTAGAAATCTACTCTGAATACAGCGCCTTACATAGTGCACCAGCTCGAGCCAATCTATTCTGATGGAAGACAGTGCAGGAGTTCATACATGGCATGTTCTTCATAGATTCAATACCACTGATTCATTAAGATATATAGTTTCTATCTTCCTGGAACTTATAGGTGAGTGTGATACTGCTGTTCTTTTCTTCTTGGAGAGTAGAGCGGAAGAAACATGTTATATTCCTCAAAGTTTAGTGATGGAATGGAGGATATCCAGGATGGTGTATATCGTCCAATTCAAGTAGTTTGATGACAATATGAGAAACTGTAGGTTTTGTTAGGAGTGACTTTGAAATAGGATCTTCCAGCTGATTTTGTTTTAGTGTAACTACGATTAGTTTTTGGGATTTGAACTCCAAATAATTCACATTTACAAGTTATATACTTGAACTTTAGAACAATTTTTTTAACACCATAAGGATATTTAAGTCAATTACTAGGACAGTCTCAATTGAAATTACATCACAGATAAGATAACTTAATAAATTTAACTGAACTTCGCAGTCGAACTAAAGTAACTAACTAATAATCAGGCTGAATATATTACTACATATTATATAACAGACTATTGGTAAACGAAAACTCGTGCTATTGCATCCCAGTAACTCAGTAGACTTGAATTCTGCAATTTTAAAAAATGAAGTGTCACGCCCCGAGCCTACACCCTGGGCGGGACCGGCACCCGGAGACCATTTATGGCCCCAAGCGAACCCTTGGCCTGGCTTTCTTAACTCAGCGGAAACCTCAACAGAATAACTCAATGCAATGCAACATTTCAAAACAACTTAACTTATAAAATATGGCCATAAAGGCAACTCGAATCTCAAAATAGAATATTTACATATATATATGGATGAGAGACTCAAAACTAACTGACTGACGGTCTGTCTATGAAGCCTCTAAAAATACTGAGATGGATGTTAGGACAGACCCCGCAACATCCCAATAAAAACAAAGAACACCAAAATAATCGAGTCCTCCGGAATGCAAGGAGGCTCACCACTGACTCTGGAGTGCTCAGCTGGATCAACGACGTGCAGGATGCTGATCTGGGGTACCTGAATCTGCATCATCAAACGATGCAGACCAACTGGCATCAATACATGGAATGTACGAGTATGCGAGTTGGAAAATTAAGCAACAAAGGCTAGAAGGAAAATCTGGAAGAAACTGAATAGCTTACCTGGCTCAACTCAACTCAACCTGACTGACTTCTTTCAATATAAGGCAATTTTAAAACAAGTGCGATATAAAGAAAGACTGTTTAAAACATGCTATAAACTCTGTATGTATACAAAGATACAATAAGCCTGAAATGTATATAGAAATACAATGAACTGATGTATATAAAAATACAATAATCTCTGCATATGAAAATATAATAACTGCTGTGGGAGCTTCTCTAACCGACAACCATCACATAAGAGCTATAGTGATGATACAGCGATCGACCTCACGCTGCCAGAGCATCTTATACCCGGCCAAAAGTATAAGACCTGAACTGCCTAATGGATCCACTAGTCTAATATGAAAATGATTCATCTAAAAAGTATGATCCTTTTCTTCCCATGGTGGCTAACATGGTTCTATGGGGGCTGTGGGTTCTTTGAACGCTCCCCCAATTCGGTGCTCGATACTACTCCCAAAAAAAACGTACTGGCTCTTATGTTTTTAAAACATATTTATTCCTGCTGATATGAGATAATTACTCAAAAACTAGCCCGAAGGCTCCTTTGGAAATCTCAGTTTCCAACCTTGTCTAAATGTAAAAACATTTCTTTAAAACTTCTTTGGGAATACATAGTTCCCTAATATCTTTGAGAAAAGAACTCAACTTTAAACTCATGACTTAACTTGAAACTGAGACTCTTACTCGACTTGAAACTCTATACTCTTTTACTTGACTTCTGACTATCTTTCCTTGAATCGAAATTATGAATTTAAGGTATTCGATCACATGTTGAGGAGGGATCCTTGAACGCTTAGATGTACTTAGGAGTGTCGGAAACTACTATAAGACATAGGTATAATAGTTTGGAACTTGCATGAGAAAGTGAGAAAAGAAACGGGGAAACTTGGCTGAGACTTCAGGTTTTTGGTGACACAGGTGGAACCTACGGACGCCATCGACGGACCGTAGATGGACTTACGGTCCGTACTATAGGTCCGTGGATCGCGTCAGAGATTTTTCCCCAGAATTCATTTAAGAAAAATGACTAAGTGTTGACCTACGGTCCTGACTTACGGTTCGTAGGTCAGGTCACGGTCCGTAGGTCAGGTCACGGACCGTAGGTCGCGACCGTAGATCGAAGCCCCAAAAAAACCCAACTCCTGATCCGATTGACGGTTGACCAGTACGGACCGTCAATCGATCTACGGTCCGTAGGTCAGGCCCGTAGATGGGTATCGACAGCCCAGAAGTTTCTGCGAATTGAGGGTGGATCAACTTTAAAAGGGGCATACCTCTTAGAATCAAAATTTCCTCAACATACAATAGGTTTCAACTTAATTACACGACTCAATCATGTCTCACAACGAACAATAACCTCAACTACTCTACCAACAACATCAACAACAACTAACAACTTCAATAATTCAACAACAATTTCCGATTCTTTCTCAAACCATAGAATAGACTTGGTGTGTGTGAGGGAAAGGATAACCCACACGAAAACTGACATACCTACTAGGGATCACCCCCGACGATAATCCACGACGGAAACTTGTTGACCTCCTTTCTCCTCTTTCTTCTCTTCTTCTTCTTCTCCTTCTTCTCTTCTTCACTCCCAAGAACCCTAACTCTTTCTCTTCAAAAATGGGACAAAAATGATCCAAAGATCATCCTAATACAACAATATGAGCTCAAAATAAATAATTTGTGAAAGGACCAAAATGCCCTTAAATTTCCGGATGGATTTCCCTTCCAACTGCCCAACTTCTACAGGGAATAACTCCCTCATACGAACTCGGAATTGAGCAAACTCAGTGGCGTTGGAAAGATTGTTCCAAATGCTTCGCAACCATAACTGGAACTACTCCTAACTCATCCAGATCTAGGAGTTACGACTACTCAAAGTTGGCC